AATGTCTAACAAATAGACTTTTTTCTAATGCACATAGAATCAGAACTGTAAATTCATGTACTGTACTCATTATATTCATGTAACTTTTTGTTTAAAATTAAAACCAGATTAAAACTCTTTACTAAATGCATTTACGTTTTTATGGAGATAAACTTCTAACACTGTCTTCTGATATGTTAATGTAAATAATCTTGGTTTTTGCAATGTTCTAAACTTTCAAGTTTGACTTTGATGAATCAGTTAATGGGGGAAATAACATGTCAAGGAGTTCCTGTCTCACCGGTAGACCTTTTTCTAGTTTGTATGTTAACATAATGTTATACTGACTGAAGATACCCACAATTTGACCTGTTGTACTGTGTAATATAATAAAACGCGTCATGTTTTGTACACTCCGTCAAATATCCTTCGCTGTCTCCTTGAACTGTGTGTGAGGTCCACTTTTGTGTCAACATTAAGTCCACTGCTTCATCAGTTGATATGTCTCTCCATCAATCTGTGCTTTTATTGTTCTCAGTTGGACTGATTCAGGTGCTAATTAACCCACTGGACGCGTTTTATTAGCCACAACAGGCTCGCGATGTTTTATCTAGCTTTATGAAAAATATTTCACATTCTGACGTGAGGCCTCTTTGTGTTCAGTTTTGCGTGTGTTTTTTTTTTCTTCCCCGCCCTCCAAATTCCTCCGCTGAACCAGATCAGAGCAACGTGTCAGTAAAAATACATCTTAATAAACATTCGGTACATACATCAGCCACCTCCGTCGTGCCCGGGTCTCAGCTGAGTAAGCACTGTATGGAAATCCCATAATGGTTTCTGAATGTGCCCGAAAGGCCCAAAACACGCAACTCTGACCCTCTAAACCGCCTGGTCCACGTCCAAACCATGTCTCATGTTCCTCGTATGTATCAGCACAGAGGTCAGAGGAGAGAGCTGTACCATGAAATTAATCCGCTCTACATGGTTCCACTTTATTAGAGCTGACAGCTATTTAAAGCTACACGGGCTCCCTGGTGCTGCTGTAGAGTAATGAACCAATGCAAAAGGATACTTCTCGAACCTCAGGTGCTAAAATATCAGACAGGGATGATGCTAATGGACATTACATGGACCTTTCTGCTGTACTTCAGTGGAAAAAAGAAGACTGGTTTAGCAGATTTTGGTTCTAAAGCAGAAAATGTCAATTGATAGTCCTGTTGAATTATTCATTGAGCCTCAAAGTGGTTCTTTGACGCGATGCAAGACTGTTAGCGTGAGGTTCTGGTTTTGCTTTTCGATTTTAACGGGTTATTTTGGTGAACCAGCAGCAGGACGTCTGGCCTCCAGTGTTTCGTTTTTCTCTGTGGAATGAGAGGTTGCATGATGTGCGGTTCAGCTTACTCCACCTGTCTGAGGCGTGGTGCCGCCAGATTTTATTACCGTCAAACCGAGTACGTAACTCCTTGTGACAGTTCTTGAAAAATTGAGAAATTTCTCATCTTCCCAAGACATTTCTGCTGGGCAATTTCCACTTCAGAGCTGCATAAATGGATGTTTAAAGCATAAATGTGAAATAGGCCGCTCAAAGTGTTGAACCCATGAAGCATCGACACTTTTTTACTTTTGCCATGGTGGCCCTGAGAGCTCCTCAAGAAAACACATGCAAATAGAAAAAAAACGACAGCAAATTAAGAAATGACCTCCATTAATATGACAGCAGATGCCCAGGATTTAAAATGAGATAACATAATCATTTACAAAAACACACTCCCAGATAGAGACACTGGCGTTAAGAGGAGATGTAAATTACCGAACCATGAGATCAGACAGTTTAAACAACCAAACAATTATGTTTAACCAATTTTCCAACAGTGCGGATGAGTAATTAATATCCATCCATCCATTATCCGTACACTGCTTAATCCTCATTAGGGTCACAGGGGGGCTGGAGTCTATCCCAGCTGACTCAGGGCGAAGGCAGGGGACACCCTGGACAGGTCACCAGTCTATCACAGGGCTACACTTAGAGACAGACAACCAAGCACACTCACATTCAAACCTACGGACAATTTAGAATCACCAATTAACCTCAACATGTTTTTGGACTGTGTGGGAGGAAGCCGGAGAACCCGGAGAGAACCCACGCTGCACATACAAACTCCACACAGAAAGATCCCAGGTGTCCTCACCGGCAACCTTCGAGCTGCAAGAAAACAGTGCTACCAACTGCGCCACCTTGCAGCCCATAATCAGTATATCTTCATGAATCACAAACTACAACTATTTGGTTGTGTAGTCTTTTTTTGTTGCACGTTTTCATATTTGGTTGCGTTTTCTCACTTTGCAGCATTTTTTCTAAATCTTGCAAATGTTGAGAAATTGGTTACAATACATTTTCTACTTTTCTTGTGTTTCCTTGTGTTTTCTTTAACTGTGCTATAGTTTATAGCTCATTATTAGATTTTCAAGTCTCATTATTTCAAACTCCCAACCCTCAAACCTTTGTCATCTTTTAACTTCTAATCTGGAGTAATCAAGTAACACCATTTTTGGCAGAATATTTTTGCAGTTCCCTTTTTCTGCAGAACTCCAATCTTACAGACAAACTGAAGCCAAAACTAATAGAAGAAAGTCAAACACAAGTTAAAGACCTGGAAGCTTTTCTCAGGTTTTGGACGAACAAACCAAAGACATAAAGTGTGAACTTTATGTCATGCTTATATGGCTTCAGGTCTGCTGGATGTTTAAACTGGCATTTGTTTGCTAATAGATCAACTGTGACACTTTAACAAGCCAGTAGTTTACTCAGGTGTTTGTGCAAATTTGTGTGGCATTTTTTTCCCCTGGCCCCCTATTGGTCAGAAATCACACAATGCTGCTTTAAATCAACAATCAGTACCAATAAACAGTGTTTTTGATGGACGAGACACAGATAGACATCACTTCATTTTATCTCATATGACTTTATTGAAAAATGGGCATGGATATCAAAGCTAAAATACTGTCTCTTGGTTTACAAACAGCAAAAATACAGAGAGTAATACATTTTACGTATATGAAGAATATGTGTCAGAAGCTGCCTCAAAAGAAATGAAGATATTTCACATTGTCTTGGGGTCCAAAGTTAAAACACACTTGGATTCATTTATGAACACGCTAACAGCAAGTAAATGTGAACCTGAATGTGTATTTGGTCTAAATGACACACGCACAAAAAAATACTAAATATTCTCTGTATAGTGAAAGTTAAATAAGATCGGCTCTGACATTGCAAGATCTACGTAACAGCACTGAAATTCTATTTATTAGATCTAATCGCTTATTACATTACATGGATCTTATTAACTTCTGCTTGGTAAACATATTTCCCATTAGGTTATCATAGTTTTACTGCAGGTAATGCAATCTCTTTAATATGTTATTGAGGTAACTATCAGATTAATCAATGAAAAAGATTGACTAGATGTGACTTTAGAGTTAATAAACTAATTACAGAAAAGATGGCGGTTTTGCAATCAGCGCACACACTGAATGAAATCTGACTTCTTTTTTATCTTTGCATATCAGTTTGTTTGGAAAATGGAATGCCTTTAGCTTATTCAGCAATGTTCTTACACAGATTAGCAAAATTACATTAAGATTGTTGATCATTTCTATTGCATTAATGGAGAAATTAATTAGATTATTGCACCACTGGCTGCCAACGTGATAAGATCATCACCAGTAAGCAGCCAGTCAGTAAATAGACTGTATAAAATGAAAAAACAAAAAAAAGACTATAACAATGTCCACAACTGCTTGGACTCCTGTAACAATTTTAGGGGGGGAACAAAAAGTCTAATTTCTGCAGCAGTTGAGTAAAATTGCAAAGAAAGCCTGTGGGGTGCTGGGAGTGTCCAGATTGAAAGCACATGCTGGTCGCTCGGCTCTCGACTGAAAGGTTTCGTTCTGTTTTGGCTCAGTGGCTCCGTTGACACATCATACATCAACCTGAGTATAAAAAAATTCAATCAAATGTTTAACGGGGAGAACTGGTGGGCTGAATAGTTTCCCAACTCATGTAACACAATGATAGCGGCTTTTGTTTTCCGTCTCTACATGTTGGACTTTTACAGATTTTCTACATCTGACTCCTTCTGAAAAGGAGAAAACCTCAAACTGGGAGAACAATGCATCATTTGCTCAGGATTTTATCCACGTTGTAGAAAAAAAAAAATCTCACAAGATGTGTTGCATACTGTGGATAGCATACTTGCAAACAAATAATTACAGATATGAGAAATACTGCATGAATCCTTAAGAAAATGAAGTTTAATACTGTTTCTAGCACTTCATTCAGTAGCCACTGCCTACTACTGTACATTGCAATTTTAAAAAAGCATTTAGTAAGATTATACATAATATAAAAATAAAAAAAAATACACTTAAAAGACACATCTGATAATAAAGTGGCTCAAATATATATAAAAATGGATAATCAAAAACGTTCTTTTTGCCACCTTGAACATTCCCTTTTCATCTTTCCGCTATTTTTTATTTTTTTTATTCCCCCCCTCCCCCACAATTTAGTAGCTTTTCATTCCTACCAAGGACAGGTGTTGGCATGAAAATACTGCAATAGTTTTTTTGTTTTTTGATGAACTCTTTTGATGAGGTGTAAACTGGTGTACTGCCTCCGTTTCTGAACAGAAAATATAATAGAAAGTCATGAATGTTGAGGTTTATATGCTACTTATTGTTGCATGTTTTACTGAATAAATATTTGGTCTCTGTTTATGTTCAATCAATTAAAAAAAAGCATTGATAAGTGTTTTTTTTTTGACAGTCTATAGCCTTCACATCTACTAACAACCCGCTTTCCTTTAAGTTTTTCACCTAAGACTTCCAACTACAGCCCTTTAAACGTTTGCTTGACCGGTAAAAAACATTACAGAGTTTCATTTAAGACATAGAGGTCACAACGTCTCGTCTTAAATGTTGCATAAAATAACATACAGTTATGTCAATGGCTCTGGCCCCTTGCACTGAATATATAGCACCATCAGATCAGTGCTTGTTTCTTAGTAGTTTTTGTTCCTGCACCAAGCTCCAAGACGACACCAGACTCGTGGTGTCGCGGTCTGCCCTGTTCAGTCACTGCTTGTGGATGGTTCACCTCATAGAGTGACGCCACTTCAACCTCAGATCGGAAGAAGCCTTTCACATTTATATCTGGAAAACCCACATCCAAAGTAGTTATTTGCGTTATACACATTAAGTATAGTATAATTACTATAATATCATAGAATATAATGAGTAGAAGTCTCATGGACATGATCATTTACCAGCTAGAATTAAATGTGTCCTAAAAATGTTCTGAGGCAGTTCTGCAAAGTTCTAATAATGTTTTCAGCTAAAAGTTTCATTAAAAAAAAAAAAAAAAATCGCTAAAGGTGCACTAAAAATGTTCTTGAAACATCACCTGAATGTTTGCATTGAGAATGCCCTTTCTTTGTTCTTATGTAATAATGTTTTTTTTTTTTTATGGAAGAACTTTCTCAACAGCAACATCAACAACAAACAACATTCTGTCTTCTGAAGCCTTAATAACATCTTAAAAAAGGTTTTTTCATGGTTGGTTTGAGAACGTTCTTCTGTTGCTATCATGGAACATATCTGACAGCATCCTCCAAACATCGTCTTAATGTCAAAACATTCTGTCTGAGATCATTTTAAACCTCATTGGAACATTATTGGAAATATCCCTAAAATGTTAGTGTTTTGAAAACATTATTAGAACTTGTAGGTATTGTTAACCACTGTTTTGGGAATGTTCTCTGCTTTGTGGGTTTGACTTGGATGATTTTTTTCCTTCGGTGGTTTTGGATTAAACAACCCTTCAGCTTACCAAACCACAAAAAGACATATCAGGGCAGAACCTGGCAACTAAGTCCCAACTGTACTTACTCCAAGGAAGCAGCTTGTATTTAAAGTTTATCTGACACCACATGGTTTTTGCACAAAGCCTTGCATGAGACAGAAAGCTAAAATTGTTCCTTTATAGCTGTGTGAAGCAAGAAAAATACTATATACAGGCACACAGTCAGAGTTAGCTCACGTATGCCACACTCAAACACACACATACATTCACTTTCTCTCTTTCTCATAACAGTCACTCAGCACCCATATCTGACATCGACATGCGTCCCGTCGTTCCAAGGTGTAATTGCACTTGGCGCTAACGTGGATTGTTGGAGGCGGCTGCTCGGACACCCAGAGGGATCGGTGGTGGCGCTCGGAACGGCATGGGTTTTGGCGGTGAAGTGCTGGTTCTGCAAGCAGGTCCAGGTACGTGGACGGGTACAATACAGCGTGTTTGCATACATCCATAGCAGTGACAGGGAGGTAAAGAGGTTCGACCTGGGAGCACCAGGCTCGACGACACGCGGGCCTTCTCCTGGGTTTTAGTTTTTCTTGTTGTTGCGTCTTCGGGACTTCTTCACCCTGGAGAGAGATTCAAAGGGATATTTAGTATTCAGACTACACTTCAGAAGCATGACATTTCTATTCTTCAGCTGAGCCCAATTTGAAAATGAAATGGACATTTTCTTTCAAATAGTTGTATAAGTTTCCCTCTAATTCAGCTGGAGGTATAGCGTTGTCCCATGTCCCGTGCCTGACCATCCTCAGTTTGAGTGTTGATTTTCGACTGAGTTGACCATGTGTAAAATCTGGAGTCATAGGCAACATTAGCACCGCTTTTCATAAAATCATTTGACTATGAGTTGGAAAACCATGACTTTTCTTTCAGCCCAGTAACAATATTGCATAACGCTTCCAGTTAAAGCTCCTATTGGTGCCAATCGCAGGAAAAAGGCAGCCTCTTAGGATGAACAAACTACCGAGCCACCGTGCAGCCCCTCAAGTGAGATCTGGACAAGCTTCCAGCACTCAGTGTTCCTAGGAGGTCTCTCACCCAAGTACTAACCAGGCCCGCCCACGTTTAGCGACCAGACAGGATCGGCTGTCATCACAGTGGTGTGGCCGTAAGCCTGGTGCATGAACTTTCCAAAAAAACTGGATTGAACTGAGGTGGAATGATCGATTACTGATATTGTTGGAAATCTTATTTTCTGGATTCAGTTTAAAGTTCTTTCAGTTTAAATAGTTTGTAACTTGGTCATCGCCATACAAATGCACAATTGGGAATTATTCTTGCAGTTTCTAAGGGGCCTCTGGATGCAATTGTACACATTTACAGGAAAACCTATACAGGCTTTAAATGCAGATGTTAGTTCTTCTTTTATGGAAACAATACAGGCACGAAAGCGGGTTCTAAACACATCATCATTGGTCATCTCAGTTGCTTATGAAAAAACCTCAATGGCAATCGTTTGCACAGTCATTGTACAAAACCCGCCCCCTGTTAGACAAGCAGTTGAGATTGGCCCGGCACGAGCGACGCCGGGGGTAACTCCGTTTGAACGGGAAGGAGGCCAGACGCATTCTGCCAGAGCAAATGAAAAATGAGCCCTCAGATTTGTCTGGTTCCCAGGCTGGAAACGTTGACTGACACACCAAAAAAAGGCCGAACGACTGAAGACGTTCAAAGTGGGCGTTGGGAGGTGAGGGCCTTCAAAAGGACAAAGGTTACTGTTGCGCTGTAAATTTGGAATTCATGTGACAATATGGTCTTTTGTTATCCAGTTTCGTCATCTAAAGCTTATTCATTTGAGAATCGTCTTTTCTTAGAGGACATGAATGTGCAACGGGGCTCTAGTGAAAAGAAGGAGGATGATGGTCTTAGCAGATCATTCGTGGCCCACAAACTGTTTTAAAAGGGGAATATTGCAGCATATGAATGTGATTTCAGTGGAGCTTTAAGTGAACATGAAACTGTGTGACGCTGACAAAGAGCAGCCACACTTAGAAAACCCTCCTTGCATCGTTTTAAAGATGAAGCCTTGTTTTAATTATATTAGAGGACATAAACACACGTACACATACAAATTCTGGTAAGTTAAAGTTTGCCTTTATGCTGTTATAGCGTAAGATATTTTGATGGCCATTTCTCATGTTCTTAACACTGCTCTTGTAACACAGAAGTTTAGTATGAACAGATGGAGCTTTTAAACTTTCTCATTAATGCCTCTAATTCTGAGCACCAGTAAAATACACTCAACACACTTCTCCTGCCAAAACACACATGCAATTTGGTTCATTTTCACATTGCTGGACTGCATGTTAACCTTTAAAACTCGGGTTAAAAAAAAGCCTGAAACATGGCTGCTTCTCTGCTGACATGCTGGAAACGTTCTGCGTGACAGTTATGATGTGTTACAAAAACTCGACTCTTAGCAGAAAGTACATTCTGAGACGCATGCAGTCGACAGAACATGAAAAGTCAGCGGTTGGTGTGTCTGACAGCCCGTTTGCTGCTCTGCTGCCTGCCAGCTCCAGTGACAACGTCAATTTAAAGCTACATTTTTTAGAAAATGTCAGCGTGCACGCAGGTTTTCGGTTGAAATAATAAAGAATGTGTCGTAAATCCTCCTATTTTTCATTGTTGTTTGTTTTCACATTTAGGTGTTTATGGAGTTTTAAGAAGCAGACTGCCGATAATGACCACCAGACATGTCGGGAACTTTTTTTTTTTTTTTTATGAGGAAGGCACATGTTTTAACTGCATCGCTCATTAAAACTTGAACGAGCTGCAGCAGTTCTTATTATATAACAGTTTATTCCCCGACCACGACAGCTCTGTTTGCTGATGTGCAATTAGTGATGACAATTGTGTGAAAAATGCTTTTTAGGAGTTAAAAAAAAAAAAGGTCAAATATAATGCAAGTGAGCTGAGAGGGTAAAAATTCTGAACATCTGTAGCTTCTTGGCTGAAATCGCAGACGTGATTATGAGAAAGAGGGAAGCGGACACACCAGGGGCAGATTTATCTCTATTCTTACTTGATGCTAATTATTTCACAGATAATAACTCAGCTGCTTACATCAACCGTGTCAACAATTTCAGAGAGTAAATGTCAGCAGGAAACTGAGAGATGGCCCCCTTTTTTCTAGCGACGGTTTATTTCTCCTTCGCAAGTTCTAAACTCAGAGGAGAAGGGCGCCGTATTTCATTCCTGTCTTTGTCAGTGATGCTCATGTTATTCCCAGAGTGGCTTTTCTTACTTGTTAATGGCGTTCTTCAAGTACTGCTGCAGCCACTTGGTCTCCGGGTTGATGCAAACCTCTCTGTTGCTCTTCAGCTTTGCACTGTGGGAGCAAAAAAGTAAAAATGATAAACACCAAAGTCAAAGCGCAAGAATTGATAGTGTTACTGCTAAAATGTTAGGTTTTTAGCACAGATTATTACAGATTTCCATTTTCTTCTACAATTTCCACACTTATACTTGCATGAAGCAAGAGCAGCAGAGATAAAGAGGAAGCTGAAAGTATTTGAATCAAACCCAAAATTCGCATGTAATAAATCAGATTCAAGGACAACGACCGGAAGATATTTTCACCTCCTTTGTAGCTCGACATCCGGTGATGGTGTACAGCGCAGAGATTCTATCTACTTTATTTGCTGTGTGGTCAACCAAACTGTAACAAGACCTCTTAGTAACCTCAACCAAATGTGACTGGCATTTTAATTAACGTGGATCCTTGGAGAAAAAAAAAAAAAAAAAAGAAGCTCATCCAAGTTTGTTCGTTCATTCATTCCCTTGTTCTTGGGGAGCAGTGCTTGTAGCTGTGCGTCCAAGGCAAACAAGGGCGCTGCAAAGTGTGTAATTCTTGTTATTATTCGGTGAGATGCAATGTTCCCTTCACAGTGCTTGAATACAAAATTAGAAATGTCAGTAAAGTTTCTGCTACCAAACATGCCTTAGATTTATCTCGATTAAACAAGTTTCAACTCTGTGATGCATAAATTGCTGAAAACTATGGCTGCTTGCAACAAAATGAAATTAATTAAAAACCCACAGTAGCCCATAATTTGGATAATGGTCTGAAATTAGTAGTTATTCAACCCAATTTTTAAACTTAAAGGCCCCATAAGGAACATATGTAATCCCCAGATGACAATTTGTCTTTGGGTGAGTAAGCTGAGGAGAAGCTATGTACCTGTACATCTTCATCTAAATTTTAATTAATGGTCATTTTAACAAAAGCTCAAGTTAATCTCCACAACACATCTCAGTTAAAACCAGAGGATCAGGACTTAATCAACAAGCTGTCATCTCAGAGTCAAGAGTAAAGCGATCACAAAGGTGCTGCTTCACCTGACAACAGTGTTTATTTCTAACCAAAAATGGAAACCAAACTCCTGTGTTACTGCACATCGCAGCATGAAGCAATATTTATGTTTCTTGTGTAATAAATCAGGAGGAGCTGCTGAAATGAGCGCAGTATGTCGGGATATTATCTGAAATTGCTCACGCGGCTTGAGCTCAGGAACACCTCGGCTAAGCTCGAAAGATCTCAGCACATCCCACGACACACCCGAGCTCAACAGCCAGAGGATCGGCGCTCATAACAGGCTGTCACCGCGCGGCCGGCCGGTGAAAAATCACAGCCCTCTGTTTCCACTCAGGGACAGCTGAGGGTCAGGACTCACATCACAAGTCGCACCCGGACCGTTTTGGTTTGTAAAACTGTCGCTGCGCCGAACACTGAACATCTTCACACGTCGGCTCGTGTAAACTTTGTGTCTGAGAAAGTGTTTTGATCAAAGAGGTGTGATTTTAAACCCTTGAAAGGCGCAGATTAACAATCCTGCGCCTTAAACAAGATAAATCTCACATCAGAAGGTGCGTTTTAGTCACCAGTGCAGACACCGTTAGAATTATTACGCTTTCTGCTGCTCTTTTAGGGCGCTGGAAAAGAATTTGAGCTCAGTTTATCAACAGATTTGTTCACGTAAAACCATTTTTTGAGTGCAAGAACTCTGTAGATATATTTTAAATCACATTCACTGTTACTTTGAAGTCATTTTAGGACATTTTTTAAGTTATTTACAGGATGAAATCTTTGATATAAATAAACACAAAACAGGTAATCAGAACTTTTTCATTGAATTTCTGTTTAATTTTGGTTTGTTAGCTGTTTTATGTTGTTTATCTGTAGCTCATGTGTCATTTTTTATCCTAAGGAAGAGATTTTACAAACCTAAATGAAGCTTTATTGGGGGAAATGATCAGAAATCTAATTTTTTAAAAGGTTTTTACAGTTTAACATTAGTTGTGGATCTTTAAAATATTTTCTTCCTAGATTTTGACAACTTTCATAAAATTAGAAACCAAAATGCTGACTTTAGTTGCCACTAAGATGCATATTGAAGCATTTCCTCAAACAAAAGGAGACTTTTCTTTTGGAGACGTTTAGTTTTTTTAAACCGGCAGAAACAGAAATCCTTCTACGTGCTTCCAAATGTGTCATCAGAGATACTTTCTCCACTCGTCTGATGAACGGTATTGACTCATCTGGATGCGGCAGTGACAGAGTGTGTGTGTTCTTGTGGTTTCTGGCCTGTTGATGGAGATTTGAGCCACATATTTAGGAGAGGATTTGTTCTGCTGTCAGGGGGGGAAGGTTTTTTTCACCCCCCTCTTCCAAACATGTGGATATCACACCTCGGTGGCAAAAGGTCGTGCAAGAGAGTTAACAACTCGGAGGTGTAGCGCCTCACTGCTCCCCTTTCTCCTCCCTCCATCTCCATCGCACTGCTCTGTAAATTAAACACATTCCTCTGCTCCCCTCTTCGCTGCTTTCCGATTCCCCTCCAACCTCGCTACCCCTCTAACGCCTCACCTCCTCTATTCCTCACCCCGTTTAGCTGCAGACACACGAGCGAATGAGCAAATGGCCCTTCTGAGCTTAAAAGATCAGCTCAGGAGCATCAATCTAAGCATCAAATCCCTCAAAGCTAACAGTCAGGAGGCCAAACAGCTCCGTAACTGGATCTGTGTTTGCTTTTTCCTCCGGGGATGTCCCCCCCTTTTTCCTTTTTTTGTAAATTTTATTAAGGGTTGCCGGCTCATCCGCTCGGAAGCTCTGCGCTGTTTTGATGTGTCTCCCTTCATCCTGTTTATCTGTCTGCTTGTCTGGGTGACCAACCGAGAGCCTAAACCCTAATTGACTTGGCTGGAATTTGAGGGCCGGAGTTCCACAAGCAGCAGGTAGTAATTACTTCACAGCAAGTTAATACCAACAGCATGCTGGGATGGGTGAGGCGGGGGGGAGGATGAGGACGCACGGTGGGACACAAGGGAGGGGGAAAGCTGGTGTAGTGTTACCGATTTTCTTTCATCTGTCTCAATAGAGATATCGGAGAAGCGTTCCTCATCCGAATGACTTCTTGACTCCTCTGGCGGTTTTCTGGAGGGAGGTTAGGGAGAGTTTGCGTCCCGGCCGGAGCGCTGTGTGTCCTCTCTGACCTTTTGCCATTCGGTCACCCTCTTCCAACAGCCCCCCCCCCCCCCCCTCTCCGTCCCTTCATCCTTTTCTGGCAGAAGCCCCACAGCCTTTTAGCCTTTTGGCTGTGAGGCTTCTGCTGTCTTGCTTTTCTATAGCCAACAAATGAATGAGGCTTTTTAGTTAATGTGTTCCAGACCAGTGACATTATACTCAATGTTGCAGTTTCAGGCGGGAAATTACGGAAAAAAAAAAAAGTGGATGAAGGACACAGGGGGTCAGCAGAAATACAAAGGTAATCACTTTGACCCTTAATTATTGCTTCCTTTGCAAAACATAAATGGCCCCCTCGAGCTCTGGCTGTTACCGCTTTCCTCTTTCTGAGTGGATTGTGTTGTTTTAAACGGAGCCCTCTCACTCAGGAAAGAATAAGGATATCAACACCATACCTCACACGTACCCCACACAATGGATTTAATTTACCTGCATTTTCTCATTTTTGATGTATAAATAAAGCCACAGTTAGTTTTCACACAAAAGCAATGCAATGAAATCAAATTTGAGTAAGTTTTCTAAGCATTTTATATCAGTTTCCAAGAATTTCTCTAAGTGAAATTTGAAGAGAAACTGTGCTATCAATGACAGAAAATGAAATTATCTTACATACGTCAGTGTCCTATACACATGCATGTGCATATATCATCAAATACTGATTTTTTTTGGAGGATTTCAAACCAGTGGAGCTGTTGTACTGTGTTATAGAATCTATTATATTGTAGAGATCAGTAATTACTGAAAAAGCCAACGTATTCTTGCTTATTCCAGTCATTTCATCCTATTTTTATTTTTATCCTTTAAAGCATAACTGTTTACTATATTTCTAATGATTTTCTGCATTGATTACCTTCTTATCACTTTCAGAACAACATACTCACTCGCAAAAGCACAGCATAGTCATCAGATATGATCTAATCAGCTTAATTCCACTTGATCTGTTGCGGTCACCTAAATGTTCAGTGCCACTGGGTGGAATTACTGTCACAATGGTCGCCTTACATTTGTGCTGCTGCTGATGAAGAGATAAAAGCACTGCGGCTCACTTCAACACCATGTTCTGCAGTCTTTAGATGCACTGCTGAGGCGGCATCGTATTCATACAAGCACAGTGTGTGGATGGAGCAGATGAGAATCAGCCTTAAACTACAGTCACCAACTGTTTTATACCATGCATGAGACCACAATAAAAGAAGGGTCCCTAAGTGATTTGGACAAGCTGCCCTTAATCTTTATGCACAGCTAAGATTTTAGTGGCTTCATTTTCCTTCTAAAAGCCACCCTGATATTTCCAATCAGCACAGTCACTAAAATTCACCTTAATACACCAAAATGTAAAAGCATCAACTAAAACAAGCCACATGAGTGACAGACTCATTAAAACTTCACCGGACAGTTACACCAGGAAACACATTTCTTCACGTTAATCAGCCCGGTAACCTTAGACTCATTTACTTACATGACTTGGAAGGGGCAGTTGGGTGTGTGGAGAAACTTGAGCTCCTTGATGGAGCGCTGAGGAACCGTGTTGAGGGTGGAACGACACCAGCACCGCTCAACCAGACTGATGGGCTTTGCTGCAAGCACACGACAAGGAAAATGACAAATCAGCATTGGGATGAGGAAATGAGAACATGAAATGAAAAGAAAATAAGTACCGACTGGTCGTATGGTAAAACATTCAGATGCTCAAATTAGTCCCTCATGTAACAGCATTGTTTAAGGTTGTCTTACTGTTTAACAAATATCTTAAACACTGATCAGAATGAGACCTTTAAAGACTATTTAAAGCATTAAAGTTCACTTTATGGCTCTGAAATCCAAAGTCCAGACAGACAAAACTGCATCAGCCTCCTTTTAATATTAGTTTATGCTAAACAGCAATCTTTTGGGAGCAGAGGAGCAAACACTTAACACGGAAACATATTCAGAAGCTGCACTGTTCATCTATACATCAGTAAAATGTGGCAGAAGTTCAACCTGAAGACAGATTAAACTATTTACCTGACAAGTGGAACTAACTGTGATCCAAAAGTAGTAGAAGATTAAAAAAAAGACTAACATGAAGCGCTGCCAAAAATCTTGGTTCTCTGCTTATTAAGGGGTCATTTTTGTTCATACAAGGATTTAAATAGTTACATCAACTTAAATCAAAATCCGAATTCAAACACAGTAGCTTCTAATTCATTTAAGGTGTGATCAGAAGCATGTTCAATCCAGTGTAACAAATCCTTACAAAGCATGGGAATGTACGAGTTTACCTGCTACTTCTCTGAACAACATGTTCATTAAAAAGAGATTAGCCCTTTCTGACCACTTTCACACACACACACACACACACACACACACACATGCACAATTTTAGCTTTTCACTCCCGGAGCATTCAGCGCTGGCCTCTCTAAAGGAGAAGGGTCCTCAGCATTCAATTTCCAATATTCGCCTCTTTTATGAAGGAGCACTCTGCGGCTCAGACGGCATCAACAGCCTCTGCGGAAATCACCTCGAGTACATTCTTAAAATGATTACAAATCACCCCCGCGCCTCCATGGTGGCTCGTGGGGGCCCCGAGGATCACAGATGCACACTAATAACTCAAAATACTTTCGCACTTATCCGCCCTTTTTTTTAAAAGAAAAAAAAAACTGAGCTTACAGAGTTTTGAAAGAAACGATGATGGTTGTAAAAATGTCATTGAAAAGATGAAGGGAATCGCACTGCAGTAAAACTTAAAAAGATTTAAGAAACCCGCCGGATAGCCATGAAATGAATCATTGTAATAGGGTTTAACTGAAAAAAACCACTTCACTGAAGCTGCAATGTAGAAATGAGACAATTATCACATATTTGAAACAAATTGCGACGACTCAGTCTTTGTTTTAGCCCTTTTCTGCTCAAATAAACATCCGAATGACTCAAAATCAAGTGCACCTGATAGTATAACTAACAGACCTTTGTTCTGGGGTTCAGCATATTCCCATTGATATGCATGTGTACAAAGAAACGCCAAATGTCATGCCACAAATGGCTAAATCCTCAGTAATATCGGCCCTAATGATTCACACCCATTCAGGCTCTTTTCTCATGCAAACTAAGGGATCATTATGCAGCATGCAGCACCAGGGCCAGAAGCGACCATCCCCTGCTATCACCACCGCATTGTTTATCCCTAATTAGAAACTAATTATAAGAAAGCAAAGAGAAAAGACAAATACACACATTTAGACCTAACTCTTTAATATGCAATCAGAGCTCTGACCGGGGCTGAAACAACAAGCTTAGCATAACGCAGGCCAGGCGACTCAACACCCCGTCTTGCTCCCTACCAAGGTTAACATGTGGGAGGCTAATGTGGGGTCACTGCAGAGGCGGCACTCTGGCTTTGATGCAGGATTTTACCCCGAAATACTGAATATGATGAATACCTGAATCACCGTATTTCATGCTTTTATAAATATGTTGCAAAAAGCTGCTCAAGTTTTGTAGATTCAAGTTGCAGATTACAGTCTATAACTTCTGCCATCAGTGCTACCAGTGGTCGTTTCTTGATTATTTTCATTTAAGGTTAACCTCCTAATTAGTTTCTTAATGATAAATCTGAAAATGAAAATAAATCACAAGTCAAAACAATCAAAAACTCAAAGATATTTAAAGAAAAATTTGCATAAAGAGAGCAAAAGTAGTTATTCTTCTTCTTTGGAAAAAGACTTTAACAATTAATCAATTTCCAAAATAGTTGCAGCTCTACAATAATCAATATTTGGAAGTGTAGTCTACCGTCTAGTATCTACAGTTTCAATTTCCGAAAACCCGTCCAAATAGCAGGAAAGCAGAGCTCATGACTCAAGAACCAAAGGATTTGTCAAAAACAGCATCTTTCAAAACCTTTAAAATTCTGACAAAGATGGTACAAGTTAAGCTTTGGCAAAGACAAAGAATGTACGAAACCCAGGACATCCTTCACATTTGGATTTAGACTCTCAGTAAGTTTATAAAAGCCATAAAAAAAAGTTCTCATATAGCCAATACTTTACAAAATCCAAATGTGAGAAGCTCCAGCATCCAGACCATCAAAGCATCTTTTCTGGCAAAAATTTCTTTCAGTCAGAATCAACCCCCAAAAATGATCAACTCAGCAACATCTCTAAAGCATTTACATTTGCCCCAGAGTTTCCTCTCTCGGACTCACCGTTGGAGGTTGGTGCATGTGTGGCCACGGCCAGCAGAGCCGTGAGCGCCAGCAGTTTGACGTCCATGGTGGTGGGCTTTACGGGCCGCAGGAGGGCTGCTTCTCTTTCTCTGTTACAATCCAGGGCACGACTGTGGCCGTCAGCTCTGCTCTGCTCTGTGTTAAATCTTCAGATGGTAGAGAGAGAGTGAGAGAGAGAGAGAGAGAGAGCCGGCAGAGGGAGTCCCACTTTCTCAGGAGGGAGGGAGGAAGAGGGGTCCCAGCCGGAGAGGAGGGGAGGTGAGAGGGGAGGAGGGTGAGGAGGGAGCGGCGGCGAGTCAGTAGAGACTTCCTCGATTGTAAATGTGTTGGCTGGGAGTCAAGGAGAAAGTCTGAGGGCAGTTCTGTCTCGTTCTTCATTGATTTTTTTCAATCATTTTCAGCCTTTTTCTGTCATTTTCTGTGTCAGAGTTGCTTTATTGAGTCTATTTCATCTTATTTTTTGTGCTTTTTGTTCGCCTTCTTGCTTGTTTTTCTTTGCTTTTCCTTGCTATTTGTAACACACTCACACTGATACAGTACAGGCAGCTTCCACCCGTCACTCACAGCCTATTGTCAAAGGCAGAGCTCCCTGCTGTTGGACTAATATTGTCGTATATTTCAGCTGAGTGTTGTGTTATTGTTTGCTTGGACACAGACTACTCCCTCCACTCTCTTTCTTTCTTTCTTTCTTTCTCGTCATCTGGCTCGGCTCCCATCCATGACGCCTGCTTCGTGTCTTTATTGGGCTCCACAGGACTTTCACTGTCAGCTCGTTGATGAAACCATTAGAGAACCGTTTAGGCGTCACATTCGTAACATTAATAGGAGAAAGGAAAAGTTGTGTTGAATAAAAACGAGAGGGAAAAAAAAATAAAAGACAGATCTAGTAATTTTGATCTTTTGTAACTCTGCAGACTTTTTCAGTTGGTCAAAGATGATTAAAGACAAGTTCAGGTTTGGAGCTTCTGCAATGCAAATAAGTGCAAAATAGATTTTGTCCACAGTTTAATAGATCAACTCAAGAAAAACTACATTTGCATGACAGACATCATGAAAGAAATCTGTTTTTCATCATAAGACAGGAGCCCTGTTTTTGATTTTTTTTATACAATAAATACCCAAAGTCATAAAATATCAACATAGTTTGAGTCTGGCAAGATGAGCTTCAGCTCATCAGTGATTTTAATAAAAATGTTTAGTTTCTCAACAAACGGGCAAAAGGTTCAGGTCAGAAGGGAGGAACTGCAAAATAACACAATCAATATGTTTATGTAAAATTCAAACTAATTGTCATAAGCAGCTGGAAGTGCTTCCATGTTACAGCAACATGAAGCAGCAGATAGTCATAAAATATAAAATTTACGAACAAATCTAAAAGGAAGTAATTCATGAAAGGGAAAATGACAGGAACTTTCCATGTGAATAGTTGTCATTTTGGCAGATTTCTCTCATAACTTTTTGAAATTATGCTTAAAAACCTTATATAAAACAAAATTAGAGATAAAAACTTTGGGTAAAAAGTTGATTTAATGCATCTCAGTGTTACTCTCGAGTGGCTGCTTTTATGTGGTATGTGCTAACAGCAGAAACATTCAGCGCTAATGGAGAGGATGTTGCATCAAGTGGGGAGCAAACAAAGCTTGAAGAGACAGATGTGAGTCCTCGCATGTTCTGCAAACACTTTAATTTGACTGATGATCTGATGGAGGACTTCCACATGGAACGGAGGCGCAGATGTGGAGGTGTCGCTGTACAGCATGCATGTTGATACATGTCTGCGCATGCGTCTGCAAACATGCATGAAACTGGGCACGTTTCTGTCTCTCGTCCCCCTCGTTCTGCTGCATTGAATCCAGCAGCTGGTGAAATGAGACTGGTTTTCATGCCAGGACTTGACGCCTTTTTCTGTCAGAGCAGTTGGAGGTGGTTCAAGTGTCCCATCCGCCCTCACATGCAGCCCACCACCACCACCACCACCACCAGCAGCAGCAATAAAACCATACGCTGCTGAAGACCGCCTTTCAGTTGATACACTGAAATCCCTCCCCTGCAGTTTACAGGCCAATTCCACTGTTGCGTGCTGAGAGAGAGCTCGCAGGTCCGAGGCCTGCTGCAAGCTGTAAACCTGAGAGGGTGTTTACTGTTAGCCAGAGAGCTGTCCAACATAAGTGCCATTAACAGTGGGGAGATGAAATTGAGCTGTGAAGAGACAAACATGTAATTACCTCAGAGGAATTTACTCTGCCTTTTTTTTTTTTTTTTTTAATTTTATGATCCACATAAGTAGCAACACACAATTTGATTAACAGTTTAAAGATGGTTTACAGATGGTTTTTGTTATATTTGTGTGGACGTGCTGCCCCAATTACACAAACGATAGAACATTGATTTTCTAATTGACTTTCAGTGGTTTGAAGTAGGACTGCAAGGTGGCGCAGTGGTTAGCACTGTTGCCTCGCAGCAAGAAGGTTGCCAGTTCGCGTCCCGCTGAAGACCGAAATCTTTCTGCGTGGAGTTTGCATGTTCTCCCCGTGCAGCGTGGGTTCTCTCCGGGTTCTCCGGCTTCCTCCCACACAGTCCAGAAACATGTTGAATTGGTGATTCTAAATTGTCCGTAGGTGTGAATGTGAGTGGGCTTGGTTGTCTGTCTCTAAGTGTAGCCCTGTGATAGACTGGTGACCTGTCCAGGGTGTCCCCTGCCTTCACCCTGAGTCAGCTGGGATAGGCTCCAGCCCCCCCACGACCCTAATGAGGATAAAGCGGTGGATAGATAATGGATGGATGGTTTGAAGCACTTAAAATATTGAAGATTTTATTGTTTTTATAGCACTGAAATGTGTAAAGAATCAACAGCAGCAATGCTATTAGAGAGTGATATACATAGATATTTAATCAACTCAGTGTACAAATCAAGTATTCACAGTGTGTACAGAATATATACAGAATAAAAGAATCCTGAAAACTATTTCTGTGCTTGACTCCAGCCATTTCAAATATAGATTCACATGTGTAGCCAAAATCTGCATGTCAGTATTATAAGAAAAACATCTGATAGTTGTTAGAAAAGGGGGAAAAAATGCTTTTGAAATGAGGAAAGAACAAATTTATAACATGTGCAAAAGTTGACATGGCATGAAAAAGACGTCATGTTTTTAAAGGAGCACAAATTTATCGGTTACCCAAGATTAAACAGGACATTCTTTGGTGATGAATTATTGAAACAAATTATGTAATTGTCTCTGGAAAGCATTGCTGCTCCTGATTTAAAAAAAAAAATAATCATGTTGCAATACTATAAACACTAAAATCTCCATTGTTTTAAAGTAGGAGCAGAAGTCTGTTGTATATCAAACTAGTTATAAAACCACTTTCTCTTATTTTCATAATAGAAGCATCACATCTACACATGTATTTATGACGGAATTTTGTGTTGCTGCTTGATTGTAAAACAATAAAAAATAAATTGCTTGCTTGGTTTGAGGTAACAATCTTCATTTTACCTCAAACTAAACTCTGCTCCCCTCTATTGTATCGATGTGGGTTTGTAATGTACGTTTGCGGTTGTATGTGAAGCTCAGTTTCCACATCTTCAACATGCGTTTTCTTTCCATAATGCTGCGTTTGCCAACGTAAAGCCAGTCTGTATTATGTCCCATGCAAACACTAACATTTACAAGTTAGCTCAGGTAAACCCACAAACTACCTCAAACCTTGTCAGTCTTATCATCACATTGCTGAGGCTCGTATTTACTGAGTCACAAAAACAAATGTCAGAAGTGTTTTAGCCGCTCCAGCGCTAACATGCTGCAGGAGTGCTGCTGCTGCTGGGAATGTGCACGGCACGTTTACTGCCGACCTGTGGGACAACACTGTCACTTGTATCGCACGTGGGGTCAGAGGTTGGCGTTTCATGTCCGTGTATTGGGTTACAGGCAGTAGGAGCTGCCGGGTCTTTGTTCCGGACCGGGTCCTGATAGACGAGCTCGCACAAATGGCTGCCATGATGAGGGACATGATGGAGAGCAGATGAGTGCTTTCTGGTTTGAACGGAGTGTTTACATCAGGTCCACACATGCCACACATGCAGCGCCGCCCTACTTAAATTAAGTAATTGCCCAAATAAAGATTATTGGGTGCAATAAAACTTTTTCTTTTTCGCTGTAAATGTGATTATTTCTTGTAAAACAAAGCTTGGATCACAACAGGATATGAGGATGTGGCTATTCAGGAACTAATGAGGTTTTTAGTACGAGTAGAAAAACATCCAAACGTCTTTTTTGTTCTCTGGGAAAAAAGTCTGCTGCTTTCCTGTCTTGCTTCCACTTGTGGTTTCAAGTGGATTTTCACAATAAAGGAGCCTTAGAAGAGCGAATTTAAACACAGCTTAAAATCTAAACATACATCTAGTCATTCACGAATTAATATGGCACTTTGTCCACTTTATTAGCCATCTTTCATCAGCAGGTGTGTCATAGCACTTAAAACAAACCCACACAAATACATTATTGTCTTTCATGCACTTCCATGTAAAAATGAACCCAAATAAACACACCAATCTTCGCAGGGATCTCCCAAGTGACGGCAGATCCCCGCTTTCCTGATGGGATCTCTGCGAGGAGATTTGCTTTGTGGCTTCGGAGTTTATTGTGTTTGTCCAGCAGTTTGAGTCTGGTGCTGAGTTTTATTTTATGGTGGCAGAGCAGATGAAAGGTTTCCCTCCGCTGGGCTTAGATAAACAGTAGTTCACAATCACAGCCGGAGCTGTACGAGAGGCTCAAAATGTACCATATAAACACGCATTAATCAACATGTGGAGAAATTCCCAGCAGCGAAATAATATATCGGCTGCTGGATGGTAAAAAAAAAAGAAAAAAAATAGGGGAAGGCGTTGAGTAAAAGTTATGTCCTATGTGTAGTTAGTATAATGTATATGTAAGATTTACAGTGTAATGACTCTGGATGGAATTGGTGTAAGATATAGTGGATACGTATGTGTGTGTGTGTGTGTGTTTATGGTGTTGATGTGAAGCTGTGGTTGTGTAAACAGGATAAAACGGGGGTTTAAGGTGTGTGGGGGGTTGCAGGGGAGGGGATGGGTGTGTGATTTTTG